AATACTTACAGTGAAAATTACAAAGATCGGGTCACTATAACCTATAGACCCCATACAACTGATTGTTCAGATATAAAATTTTTTCGTTATAACTCCTCCATTTATATCGCTAGGAACATGAAATTCCGCACTGTTTTCAATAGTTATCAACAGAAGACTTACAGTGAAAATAACAAAGGTCGGGTCACTATAACCTGCAGACCCCATACAACTGATTGTTCAGATATGAGGTCTTTTATCATAACTCCTCCATTTATGCAGCTAGGAACATGAAATTTCGCACCACTTTCACTCATTATTTACAGAATACTTACAGTGAAAATAACAAGGATCGGATGACTACAACATATATCTTCCATACATCTGATTGTTCAGATATGGGATTTTACGGTAAAACTCCTTTATTTGAATAGCTAAAACCGATAAATTTCGTAAGATATTTTATAAATAATAATACAAAGTCTACTGAGAAAATCATCAAAATCTATGCTGTATAAGCTTTATCTCCTATAGCACTGATTGTTCAGATACCAGTTTTTGCCATATATCTCCTTTATGTAGGAAACTAAACCCAATAAATTGTGTTACCGGTTTACATACCGATCACATAGCAGTGAAAATCACTTAGATTGGTGCCATATAAAGTATATCTTCCATACCTCTGATTGTTTAGATGCGATTTTTTATATAAGTATGTAACTCCTCTATCGATGTATGCAGATGTATTCAAAAGCAGTAATCTGTCAAAGTAAAATTTGCAGATATTCATGAAAGGTATGAAGCCTTCGGCATAGCCGAAGACAGCGCTGCTCTTACTTGTTTTTATTAAATTTGCAAAAATGTAAATAGTACAATTTATTAAATTTTTGATGGTAGGTTAGGTTCGGATGGTTGAAGAGTACATTCTTCCCACACATAAGTACAAAGGCAAGTTGTGTTATGCAAAACGGTAAGCTAAGAATGGAAACAAAATTATCATTCTGTGATGCTGGGAAAGTCACGAAACCTCGAAACTATTACGAAACTGTACTATTAATGTTGAAAAATGTACGGAATATTTTACAAGCTTTCCAATTTTTGTGGGCAAAATTTTTTATTCAACTCAAAATTTTTGGATAAAAAAGTTAAAAGTGCTATTTTAACACGAACTTACAAAAAACAAGTAAGAAAGTCTAAGTTCGGGCGGAGCCGAACATTAAATACCCGGCGCAAGTACTAAATATATGTTTTCCACCTTTCCGAAAGCTACCGCTACATGATAAGCCGGGGTAGATACATTTTAAGTAAATTAGCGTCCTTAAATTTCGAAATATTGCAGTTTCAAGCATATCTGAAATTTACCGTTATATGAAAAGCGGCCTCAATTTTAGTCCGATTTCAACAATTTTCAACGGTTTGCTTTTATGTGGCAAGCACAATAACCATACCGAGCTTGGTACAAATTGCTAGAACGGTTAGCGAGATACATATATGTGATCACAAGTGGGCGGTGCTACGCCCATTTTCCAAAATTTTGTCATAAACGTATTTCTTGGTAAAGAATTGTTGCAATCATTAATTTTGAATAAATTAGCTTCAATATTTACTGATTTATCGAAGATTTTGTATTTCTCGAAATTACCGTTATATGGGATGTGGGCGTGGTTATTGTCCGATTTTAGAAATTTTCGGCCAGTTGGTATGCTGTACCAGGACCAACAACTGTGCCAAGTTTGGAAGAAATTGGTGTAGCGGTTACCAAGATATACACATGTAACCATAAGTGGGCGTGGCTACGCCCATTTGCCAAAATTTTGTAATATTCTTATTTTTCGTCTAAAACTCATTGCAAATATCAATTTTGAGTGAATTATCTTCAGTAGTTACTAAAATATCGCAGTTTTCGTTTTTCTGAAAATTACCGTTATATGGGAAGTAGGCGTGGTTATTGTCCGATTTTTAAAATTTTCAGCCATTTAGTAAGCTGTACTAAGGCCAACAACTGTGCCAAGTTTGGAAGAAATTGGTGCAGCGGTTACCAAGATATACACATGTAACCATAAGTGGGCGTGGCTACGCCCATTTTCCAAAAATTTATAATACTCATGTTTTCCGTCTGAAACTCATTGTAAGTATCAATTTTGAGTGAATTATCTTCAGTAGTTACTAAAATATCGCAGTTTTCGTATTTCTTAAAATTACCGTTATATGGGAGGTAGGCGTGGTTATTATCCGATTTCGCCCATTTTCAATACCGTCCGTCCCACGCCCAAAAGAAGTTCACGTACCAAGTTTCGTTAAGATATCTCAATTTTTACTCGAGTTATCGTGTGCACAGACGGACGGACGGACGGACGGACGGACGGACGGACGGACGGACGGACGGACGGAC